TGGTATTCTCAATACTTCAACTTTATTCATAGATACCAAGATATTATATAGGCATATGTCGAGGGGAGTTTCAACCCTTTAACCAATGAGGATATAGATGACATACATATAGGATGTTGGCAAAGAATATGTGTTGTATAAAATGGCCACATGTACAGGAAGATATGGACATATTAGGAATAGACTTGGCGAAGGATGCTGAACTATCTTCATAGTTCATCACGAACCCCTTTATCTTGGAGTCCCAGCTTTCGTATCCAGAATATAACATATTCTGTTACACCAAATACACAAAATAATGATCTTTAAAAAAGCATCATATGACCTTTTTAAATTACTCTGAACCCCGCTGCTTCTCTTCCAATCCTTCATCCACTCTGTGCTTCTTCTGCTCTGATGCTGCACTTTATCAGTGTTTGACAACAGAACATCCAACTTGTATCGCTGCTGTCTATGGGAGGGTCCGAGAGCTCTCGGATTTAATCAAAAATATATTAATTTGTGTTTCGAAGATGAACGAAGGTCTTGCGGATTTGGAAGACATGAGGGTGAGTAATTAATGACAGAATTCTAATTTTTGGGTGAACTAACCCTTTAAGTACATAAACAACAATACAGAATACAAAACGTAGCACTTTGTAACTTATCTTGTTTGTGATGATTTTTTCTGTGATTAATTGTACATTAGATTGCCTTTTTTATAGATGTTTTCAGTGCATTCATTAAAGTTGGAAATCGTGAAGATCTTTACCATATATATCATGTTGCTCCATACATAAACACACATTCACACTTAAGATATTTATTTCTGATATTACACGCTGAACACAACACATTGTCCAAACAGGCACATTTATGCATTTGTCATAAAAGTATCAAAGAGACTTGTACAATGCATTCAAGCTTGTAAATTTGATCAATACATGTTTTCTCTGGGAATTAAATCCATGACAATGGCATTGATAACAATGTGATCATGATTACCTGCTACAGGAGCATTATAGAGAACCAGATAATCAATGCAACATCCTAAATTACAAATTACAATGAATAAAGACACACACAAAGACAAATTAGCTGCCAAAAACAAAGACAAACTGTTCACAAACTCAAGATAAAAATAAATAAGTCTCCAGATAGGATTTAAAAACAACATTTGAAAAGAAGGTCCTTAATTTCAGCAGCGTACATATAGATATATTAAATCCTAGGCTATAAATACACCACATAAATTCAGCCTTAATCATGGCTGCTATGAAGCTTGAAACGCTGAATCACTAAAACAGTTATTACTGAAACACTTTTACAAATGCTGCCCAGCTTCACCCTGTCAAATGGCTCTCTATAAGAAAACATTTGTATGATCTTATGTGGATTTTCAATCTTGATGGAATTTATCGTAACATATAATTGTACCTGGTAACAGGTGTATGTCATGGCCATACATCACATTTTAGGTTAGTACTGTGATAATCAACATGTGTGCTTAATTCTCTATTTGTTTTTCCCATTACATAAGATAAATAAAATATTTTGTTTCTGTATTTGGAATCCTGCAAGGCAGTAAATCCACAAAATATGATATATCATTTTCTTAATTTACTCTGAAAAATGTGTGTATTTTGTAATAAATAAAATGCAGGTTTCACGGTAACATTTGCAGTAGAATCTTTATATATAGTAGCTTTTAAAAATATAAATTAATTTAGAAATGTTGTTTTTAATATAATTCTTCAGTACTTTGCACCTTGGCATCTTTGTGTGTGCTTGCTTTTTTTTTTGTAAAACAAATATATGAGCAAATAATAATGAGCTCTGAACAGTTTTTTGTTCAACACATACATTTAAATGATTTACCAAAAGATAATTTCATAACTTTTTTGAGAGTTGAATATGTCATCATAACATCATAACAGTGATGTTTCCGATTTTTTTGTGGAAGTGACACGGACTGGTCCTTGTTTGTTACTGACGTTTTAGTTTGCTTTCAGCAACTACCGACAAGAGACGGCAGTCTGTCAGAAATCTCACCACAGAAAAAAGCTGCATGTCATGTGACTTAACCAAAGCAGATGGGGGGCTAAATTAAGGTCTTCTCTTTCCAACAAAAAAACGAGAATGTTCTCTTAAAGAGACAGTGGCAAGGAAATGAACACAAAGAGTATGTTGTCATATGGCCACACCATGCGGTAGAGTGTTAAAGGGATAGTTCACCCAAAAAGAAAAATTCTGTCATCATTTACTCACCCTCAAGTAGTTCCAAACCCGTATAAATTTATTTGTTCTGCCGAACAGAAAGGGAGATATTTCGAAGAAAGTTTGTAACCAGGCTGTTTTGGGGCACCATTGACTTCCATAGTAGGAGGAAAAAAATACTATGGAAGTCAATGGTGGCCCAAAACTGCTCTGTTTCCCACGTTCTTCAGAATATCTTCCTTTGTGTTCTGCAGAACAAAGACATTCATACAGGTTTGAAACTACTTGAGGGTGAGTAAATTATGACAGAATTTTCATTTTTGGGTGAACTATCCCTTTAAGAACACAACAAAGAACACAAGATAGACTACAATAACTGTGAATACAGCTCGGTGACCACAAGTGGTTAAGTATACATTTCTTCATCATTTGCTTTGAAAAATCTACTTAATAAATTCAGTTGTACAGTAATCAGTTTGGTTGGTTATACAGCATTTCATGACCGTGTCATTTTCCCAGAGAATAGAGAACTAGATTTCAAGTTACAAATTGTTTGTATTTTTCATTTTTTGGAAAGTTTGAAATGGTCTCAAATGTGAAAAAAAAAATTCAGCTTAGCATAAAGAAAGATAATAAACAAAGTATTTCATGCAATATTCTGATTAAAGTGAAAAACAAAACCTTCTTGCAGAATGGAGCTGGAATTGAAGAATATTATTTCTCTCCAGAATGCACCACAATAAAATATATATATAATTTCTAATCAGTGCTCATGAACCTGTTCACTTCCCAGTCCATCACTACTGAGCCCTTGATCAAAACACACAACAATAAATGTACCTGCCGTTTGGATTGAATTTGGATTTGATTTTTCCTACTCTCTTCTTCTTTGCACAAAGACAGACATTGAATGTGATGTGGAGATGCCTGTGTGTGGAAATGATAATATCATATTCTCAAAACTTCATCTCTAACACATACAGATATCACTGTTCTCATAAATATGTTTATGTCAAGCTGCACTGATGTCACACTTCTCATTCAATTGTTATAATCTTACCTTGTAGTCTGTGTCCATCAAATAAAACTCAAAAAAATTAAAATCATCACCAAAATCTCTTGTTCACATTTTTTACTGTCATACAGTGTACACTGTTAATCTGTCCATTCCTTCTTCATACATATTCAAATGTCTTAAAGGGGTCATGGGATGCGACATGCACTTTTGTAAGTAGTTTGAACTGAAATGTGTGTTGGTAGTGTGTGTAAACAAACACCCTATAATGATAAAAATCCACCCAGTGTTTTTTTTTAAATCTGGTTAAATGTTTTCCCCTTTCTCAAATCGAGCCGATCTCAGATGCCTGTCTGTGTGACGTCACACAGACAGGCCCCTCCCACGATAGTTTGATTGACAGTAGTGTTTCAGCACAGACTGGACTGGTGTCTTTCTTTAGCTCCGCCCTGAGTGACTGTCATCAGTCCGCCATTGTTTCACCGCCGGAGCAGATGTAGACAAGAATGACTCCTGAGCGATTGAGGTGTTCTGTTGTTGGATGTAATAATGAACTCAGCAGTCATCATTTACTCCCGACATCTGAGCCGCTGAAGACGCAGTGGATTTCTGAAGAGAATGCACCCCCGATCTACATAAATGCGTCTATGTTCGCACGAATCATTCATGATCCAGCTTCACCTCCAGAAGAAGTACGTGTAAGGTTTTCTTAATGAATCTTAATGTGCTAATTAGCAAGTTTCACGATGAATGCAGCTAAAGTAAACAGTCTCTCTGAGAGCGGCTCGGAAGAGAGGGGCGGAGTCAGCAGGGCTCATTAACATTTAAAGGGAAATGCTACAAAAAAGAGCTGTTTTTGACAGGGTAAAAAATGTGTAGTTATACACTACCATTGAGAAATTTTAACCAAACTATGTTACAGACTTTTCATTAAGACCCTAAAGAATCATATCAAATTGTGGAAAATGGGCATCCGATGACCCCTTTAAAACAAGAATATTTAGAGGTTTCATGCAACAATGATCATGCTAAATATTTATAACTCACCACTTGATCTTCTCCTTTTGTAGATGCAGCAACCAATCACAAGAAGAAAAACTAGAAATGCCGCTACTAATACACTTGCTGCAGCAGACCGTGGAGGGTCTGGGTCACAGTTAGAACATTTTCCATCTGCAAAATAAAAATAAAAATAATACATAATGAATGTATAATAAATGTTTCCTTTTTTTAAATAAACATTAGAAACTACTGAAATGCATTAAGGCAATTTAAAGGAAATTGTCTGGTGCCAGAAACGTTAATCTATTACAGCATTATTATGTTATCATGTTACAAATATGTGAGTGACTGTATTTCTGGCGATATTTACCCCATTCTCCTGAAACTGGTTCTGTCAGGCTGCTGTGAATGACAAAACAGCTATAAGATCCTTTGTGGTTTCTGTCGATCTTCACACTGGTTCTCAGCTGAAAGGTTTCATCATCATTTGGTCTGATTTCAGATGACGTTTGGTTTTCAGTGTTAATTCTGTTCAATCTAATGTTCATCTCAATATCTCTTGGGTAGAAACCAGTGGCCAGACAGCTCAGATTCAGCTTACTGTGATCATCAGGAGCTTTTCTTGCAAAGACACGAACATCTGGTGGAGCTGGAGCAGAAAATAATAATGCAATTAACAACAAACATTAAACTTTCTGTAATTGCTTTCTGCGCTGTCAACAAGTTGCATTCTTACTTTCCTTAAAACAAAATCACATTTTGTGTCCCAGAAAGAACACTGTAAAAAAATATGATATATAAGTCATGGCAACATGTTTTTTTTTTTTCAATACTTCAACTCGTCAAAATAATTTAACCAATTTCAGCGTCATTGTTTAAGGTACAGTATATGAGATTGAAGTAGATGCCTTTACATTTTAAAAACAAGTCAAGAAATGAGTCGTACAGATAATTTGGTTATACTTAAAAAGTTAAGACAGCAAATTAAGTTTTTAAGTTGAGGTGGATTATTTTTTTACAGTAAAAGTCATACAGGTTACAATATTTAAACATGGCTTAAAGTGTCATAATGATGATAAACAACCTCTGTACCAAGACAGAATTAGAAAGAGTCAAAAACACAAACACACATGAGCTAATTGCGATCAGAACTTACTCTTATATGTGTTGTTAAATGTGGAGATCCACTTAGTGCAGTTGTTGAGGAAATCCATGAGGAATGGGTTTCGTCCAGTTTGATGATCCATTTTGGTTTCTATGTCTTTATCCATCCACGGAAGCGGGTGGTTGTAATGAAAGTTAAGGAGATCTATTCCATCGTATGCATACTCATCAAAAGCCTTCAGATTCGTCACTGTTCCATTAGGAAGTTTCACCACTTTACAGCCAACTATTCTCTGGAGTACGTGAAACTCTAAAATCACACAAAATCATTATGTGTGTGTGTGTGTGTGTGTCTGTGTGTCTAATTACACTTAAGTACACTTGGGATTGTGTGCCTTTTGAGGGTATAGGGTATAGGGATACTCAAAGTGGCTACTTGATGAAATGACACCTTTGTTTTTATTCCTGAGCTCAGATGTTGATAAGACAAAAGCACTAAACTCACCAGAACAATTTGCAAAATATTTGCACTTTGACAGATCATATAGATGTTTTAAGAACCGGTCTCTAGTTTCAGGCGGTTTTGCAGGAGCTTTGCTCCAGTCATCTACAGTCAGATTGTCTCTTTCCCACTCTGAAAAAAAGGATTGTGATCTTAACAGGAAAAGACTGTAAAAGTGCTACAGTAAAAACCTGTTAATTGGTTAACAGTAAGTTTCCATATTATATACAGTGAATAACTGTAATTACATTTAATTAAAATTGTTAAAATGACATTTTTTGGAAGTGTAAAAGAACAAGTCATTGTACAGTTTACAGTGAAAAAACGTAAATTGACATTCCCAGAATTCCCTGCATGACATTTCACATTTGATGTTAATAAGTATAAGTAATGTTAATAATGTATAAGTATTTCCCTCCTCAGTTTGTTGAAAAGCTGTTTGTGATGATTTGATGGGACTTTATAATCATCACCTGTTTTTGGTGGCTGTCACTGTATTCAAAGTCCCTTTCTATAGTCTTTGCTGTATTGCAATGGATCAAAACAGATATTAGCAAATAGTAAATAATACTTTTTTTGTATATTAAGTAAACAATTAGAGTGTGAAAACAGAGCACTTTAAGTACAATATGGAAGTGCACTTTTTTCACCTGGGTTAGTTCTTATAATAACTTCTTAATAAAAATATATAACTTCTTATAATAACTTAATAATTTGTGGGTGTACACTTGGGAGTGTGTGCCTTTTGAGGGTATATGGTATTGGGATCCTCAAAGTGGCTACTTGATGAAATGACACCTTTGTTTTTATTCCTGAGCTCAGATGTTGATAAGAGAAAAGGTCTAAACTCACCAGAACACACTGTAGAGTATTTGCACTTTGACAGATCATATAGATAATTTAAGAACTCTTCTCTAGTTTCAGGTGGTTCTGCAGGAGCTTTGTTCCAGTCATCTACAGTCAGATTGTCTCTTTCCCAGGCGTGTTTTTCATTACTGTAGCGAACAATCTGTTTGTCATCAGATTCAGCCTCAGCACTGAACTCAGGAAATGGACCTGCTTTGGTCAAGCCTGTATACATGTAGTGCAGGCAGTGTTTCTCTGAGGAAGATAAAAAGCACAAACCACAATAAAAGAAACCGCAAAAAGCTTTTCTTCTGCCAGCAAGCATGTAAAAATGATGTAGGGTCGCACCTGTCATTTGTAAGTTCTTACTTAAACTGGAACATAAAATCCAAACTAGAGGCTTTAGTAACTACCAGCTAGTCAGAAATTAAATCCATTCGGTTCCAGCATTTGTTCTTAAAGCTGAACATAGCTACACTCTCAGAAAAAAAGATACACGAGCTGTCACTAGAGCCTTACCTTTTCAAAAGGTACACCTTTATTCATCACTGAAAGTGCATATTAGTACTTTAAAGGTGCATACTGCCTAAACAGAACATTTTAGTACCCAAATGGTGCAATTTTGTAACATTTGAAAGAGTACCGGGCCAGTGACAGCTTTTGTACCTTTTCTCTGAGAGTGTACAGACTGTGGCCCACTAGTGCACAACAAGCAAACCAGCAGCAGAATCAAACCACACAGGAAACTTACAAAGCAACAAAACAACGACAACGTAATGGAAACAAGCAACAACATGATGATTTTTTTTATTTATCTGAAAATAACATTCTGAAACTGTATTTGAAATAAATAAAGCCTTCAAAAAAAAAATAATAAAATTAAAAAAAAATATATATATATAAATTAGATATTATTATTATTATTATTGATTTTGCTATGCAAGCAGATGAGAGCTGTTTAGGTCAGGTTCGCTTTAAAGACAGCTAAGAAAGTAATTGTTCTTTTAAAATGTAAATGTAAGCATTGTACTAGTCAACATTATAATATAAGCCTATGTCTGTCAGGTAAATCAAGACTTACTGATTGAAAGCTTACTGATGCAGTTTAGTCAATCTTTTCATCCCAAGCAGTAAACTAGCCTTCATTAGGGGGTACTAACTGTATAAGTCCCAAATTTGACCGGAACATTTTGTGCTTACCTTGTTTTGCATTGCTTTGAGGAGAAATGAAAATAAAAAGAAATAATAAAATTAGCCAAAACATTCCTGTCTACACAGAAAACGAACTATTTCAGTTATTTATATTTCAGTCCCACGCACTGAACAGATCAACAGTGAAGTGAAAGTTTACAACGCTTCTTCCAGGTGTTGCTGAGGGCATTGCTGTCCCTCACTGGCTGCAGTCTGAAACATTGCTTTAAATGTGCTAAAAACAAGCCTATCGCAAGACATCTGGTGGGGGGCTAGACACGCCCCTGCCAACTTCAGTTCCTCACCAGATTACTTTTCCAATTTGTTATAGTATAAAAAAATAAAAAAATAAAAAGATATTGACCACTGTGACTGATAAAGCAAAACAGCAGCAGCAGAAGATTCGAAAACCTGACAAGAATGCAGTAGATGCTGGTATATGTCACAGACACATATGATCATAAATAGCCCATGTTTTATACAAGCTGAGCTCTATGAACAGCTTCTGGCACATGCTTTTGATTAATAAATAATATTTACCATACAAAAAAAGTTCTTTACAAAGACTTGCAAATGCAATCATGGTTCCTGGTTTACATGTCATAACGTGAATAATAAAAGTGTGTATAACTTCGCATAGACTGCAGTTCTGTCATATTACTCTCAATATGTAATGTGTATGTGTTATGGGTACACTTTCAGAAGTGTGATAATTGTGTGATTTCAATATAACTGTTTCAGAATTCTCTAGTATAGCGAGAGAAAAAAAAGCATTCGCTGAAATTAAGCTGCAAAAGTGTTAGTGCAGTTTACTGTAAACTCTTGTCCACTAAGAAGAACAAATAACCATTTCTGCTGGAAAAGTCTGAGAATCCAAGGTTCAAAATGTTGGTTTCGGCTTATAGTGATCAGTGCCGAAAATGGCAGGAATTTAAAAACAACAAAAAATATATATATTGAGAGCCACACAATTATTTATTCAGTATGATAACACAATTACATGTTTTAAATAATTTCAAAGGAATAGTTCACCCACAAAATGAAAATGTAGTTATTCAATACCAGTAAAGCTATTCAAAATGTCATGACTGGTCATGTGACTGCAAATGTGATTTAAAAGCAATGGCAGAGAGGAAGATGTCTGTATATTTACTACTTTTGGACAAGTCTGAAGACATACCCATGTCCATATTCCAGAATGACAATGTCAAGATTCATCAGGCACAAATTGTGAGAGATTGTCCTCCACAGAGTCCTAACTATATAACCCCACTGAAAGCCTTCAGGATGTGCTGGAGTCAACATGACACTGCGTAAAAAAAGCCACACACTCTAATGTTTCACTGGACCATCTTTAGCTTTGATAACATTGTGCTTTCATTGTGGCATTGTTGCAACAACATTATATAACATCACTGCATTTATTTTCATCACGGGTTGCATTCATTTTTGGCCGAGATCTTGTCAGCCTGCTCTTTAGTCGACTCCAGCGCATCTTAAAGATTTTCAGTTGGGTTAAGCTCAGAACTCTGTGGTGATCAATTAATTTGTGAAAATGATTCCTCATGCTCACTACTTCACAGTTTAGGTCCAGTGAATCTTGATATTGTCATTCTGGAATATGGACAGAGATGGGCAATATTTCAGATACATGCATTTAAATGTGTATTTTAAATACAAAATGCTATTTTGCATTTTAAAGCCTTTGGAAAAAAATCGAATGTAATTTGTATTTAAATACATTTAAGATTAGTATTTTTGTATTTACAAAATACATAAAATACTTTGTGCAAGTCCACCTCTTTATCAGGGAGCTGATTTTGAACATCAACTTGTTGTATGGGTAGAGTGTATATTGAGATTTGTCCAGCAGGGGGCGCTAATGCATTATGTATTGAAGGACTTGAAGGAGGAGGACGTGACACATGGTTATGGAACAAGCTATGTCCCATACTTGGAATATGTGTTCTGCAGTTAAGCCATCCATCCAAGTGCACACACACAACAGTGAGTCGTGAAAAAACACACACACCATGAACACACAACGCAGTGGGGAGCAGTTGGGGGTTCGGTGCTTTGCTACATTTTTGCTCAAGGGTCTCTCGTGGGCCAGATTTGAGGATCCCTGCTTTATTGGGTGGTTGTTCTGCACGCTTAATAAACAAACTCCAGCTGGTCCAAAATGCAGCAGCTGGAGTTTGGTGTCTGGAGTTTTTTTTTTTATATACAGCTGTATATAAAGAGTAAAATGCACATAAATATTCTGTTCCAGATTCATACACATCATTATTATTTATTGCTAAGTCTTATTTAAATGTTTCTGTTCTCATGTCAGATATGTATGTATGTAAATAGTGAAATTGCATGAAAATTGAGTGTTTACTATTTTCCTATTTAATACTGTAAAGCTGCTTTGGCAATCTGTACTGTTAAAAGTGCTATATAAATAAAAGTGACTTAACTTAAAATGGGCTATCTGTGATAAGTTTAGCCATTGGCTGAGAGGACGGCACTTTACGGCATGGACTGACAATAATCCTCTTACATATATTCTGACTAAACCACGACTTGATGGGAACAAAAAATGTTGTCGCGGATGCTTTGAGCCGTGAGCCATTTGTCCAGTTTTGCGTAGGACATTGCCTTATTACTGAACCATACTTAACTCTCTTGAAGGATGTCAGTGGTGTTGTTGACAACTCTGTCCAAGATGCTTTCAAGTGCGCAAATAACCATCAGGTGGTGCAGGGAGATTGCAAAGGTTCTTATGACCCAACCAGGGATGGACTCTTGCCTTCAGGTTCTTCCGGGAGCTTCACACGCTGCTGGGGGTTTAAGCGACGTATTGGGGACAGTGCCAGCCATATCGCAACCGCAACAGTTTAACCCTCCTGTGCAGCTCAGCAACATCATAAATGTGCAGGGGCAGGACATCACCTTGTGTCAGATTCTGTACTATATTGAGAGATGTCGGAAACCATCTTAGAAAGAACAAGCAAAGGAATCCACAAGTGTGCGGACACTGTTGAAGCACCATAACAAACTGGTTGTCTGTAATGGTGTGCTATATAAGATGAAAAGAGATCCGAAGCTAAACAAGAAACTGGACCTGTTTGTTGTACCTGCTTCTTTGAAAGCGCAAGTTCTTCATGGAATCCATGATGCAGCAGGGCATCAAAGACGTAGTAGAACACTGTCACTAGCAAGACAACAATTCTTCTGGATTGGAACAAAAAAAGATATTGATGATTATGTGAAGAATTGTCATCGATGTGTGGTTGTTGAAACCTCAGAACCCAATGCTTGTGCTCCGTTAGAAAGTATCCAAAACAGAATCTCATTTTTATGAGGGATCGATCAATCAAATTTTCAATCAAATAACTCTCTTAGGGTTCAGGTCAGAGGACTGGAATGGCCATGGCAGAAGCTTGGTTTTGTACTCAGCGACCCATTTTTGTTTTGATTTTGATGTTTGTTTATGGATTATTGTCCTGTTGGAAGATTCAATCACAGCCCATTATAAGGCTTTCTAGCATGGACAGTCAGTTATTTGATAGAATTCATTATGCCATCTATCTGAACAAAATATCCAGTATCTCTGGCAGAAAAATAGGCCCACAACATTAAAGATCCAGCAGTATATTGGGGTACTTTTTTACTCCTGTTTGCACCAAACCTATCTTGAGGGTTTGCTGCTAAAAAGCTCATTTTTAGTTTTATCTGACCATAGAACCCAGGCCTGTTTGAAGTTCCAGTAGTGTCTGGCAAATGAATATTCTGGAGTTTATTTTTGGATGAAAGCGTTTTATTTTCTTGATTTTTTTTTCTAGAAACCCTCCCAAACAACATGTGGTGATGTAGGGGCTTTCTGAACCCAAGATTCAACTAATCTCGCTATTCTGCAGCTGCGATCCTTGGAGAGCCTTTAGCCACTCAAACTCTCCTCCTATGGTGCTCACTGGTGGTGGTTGAGGAGAGGAGACCCCCCCCCCCCCACACAATTTAAAAACCCTCTGGGAGATAA